GGCAGCTGGCAACCCTTGAAAAGCCTTTCTAAGTATTTACAGAGATGGTTTCTGGCACTGCTGGACCGCTGACCATCGGTGGTTCCTTGAAGGCTGGTTGCAGTGTGGGACTCAAAACCACATCTGTGCCCTCTTTGTCTGTTGTCACGTGAAGGTCCATTGGTCAGTCTCACTCCTGAGGAGGTGCCTCTTAGCCTGGGGCGCTCTTTTGACATCAGTCCTTTGGAAAAGCCTGGTTTACGGAGTTATGCAGGTTTTCCAAATGTGGACACATTTTAGGGTCCGGAACCCAAGCTGTTTATTCATTAACATCACCACCCACCTCATCAGAAGTCTGCAGCCATGCAAAACTGGAGCTCACGGGGCCGGACTAAGTTTTCCAAAATTCTACTTGTGCTTAAAAGCTTGAGTTGGGGCCTTGTCACAGATACTGTCACTTGTCTTCCTGGGAGTGACGGGCTCACTGTGTTCACGTCTAACAGTGTCTGCGAAGCACCCACGTCCGACTCACTCATCTCTCAGATGTTCTTTCAAGTTTACACGTGGTACTTCTTGGAAAAGGTGTGCGGTTCAGGTCACAATTCAAACACACACCTGATTCCTTCCACGGAGGCATCATTGTACTTCCAGACAGTGCAAGAACGTCCTGGTCATCCCTGTCGTCCCACAGAGGATTGAGTGGTGGCTCTGTAAGACAAAGTCAGGGCTCAGGAAGATGAATGGAGACCACGCTTAGATGGTCGTTCCTTTCCTTGGTTTCCTCTCCTTTCCTTCTCTTCCCTCCCTCCTCAAGACTTTGCTTTGCTGTGAAGGATGCCCCTGCACCCGGGGCCCCTGGCCTTGCTGCATGCTGAGTCCACAGCACTTCTGCTCACTTTTGCACTGCTGTTGCAAGTGTGAACCAGGGAAAACCCAGTAACGTCACTGTGCTGTTATGAAGCCGTGTTGTCGTTCGTCTGTCGGGTCGCTCCGCCTCACGGCGAGTTGATGGACACCAGAAGGAAATGCCATCCGGTCCTGCGCCACCTGCAGTCCACCGAAGTGTCCGCCCGTGTGCCCCCCACCCAGGGAGGGCTCCCCAAGTTTCTGCTGACCCTCTCCTTTACTAAACATGGCGGCCTTCTCTCGCGTTTGGTCTTTCCTGATGATGTGTCGGAAGCAGCCAGCCCCTGTTGCCATCCTCACTTCGACAGAATACTCTGCTTGTGTTTGTCCTGCGACTGACGCGTTCCATCTTCTGCCAGCCCGCGGTACGTTCAGCATTACTCAGCAACAACAACTGCAACGCATCCGTCCTGCTTCTGTCTTCCTCAGTTGTCCAGCTTTCACACGCATAAGAGACTACTGGAAAGACCATAGCTTGGGTCAGGTGCACCTGAGTCATCGAAGCGACATCTCTGCTCTTGACCACTGTGTTTCAGTCGGCCCTTGCCCCTCAGTGAACAGGGCCTGTGGTCAGTCTGTGACCATCAGCCCATCTCAGCCTGTGTCCTCGACTCCCTCCTGCCACTCACTGCGGAGACCGTCCTTTCTCGTGCCCCTCTGGCACACCAAGCTCCTCGTCCCCACTCACCTGTTTCTGGTACCAAATCACATTCTCAGGAGTTTTCCTTCTCAATCCCCAGCAACGAGACTTTAATGTTTACCCGCAGGTTGGACTTTGGGCTGCAGGTACACCGTAGAGGGGAGGCCTCAGGTCCCACCCAGCCTCGTTATAAACAGGTGTGTGCCCTGGTCTGCCCCTCTGCTCCCAACGGAAGCCCCAGTCAGGGTGCTGGGCCCAGCAGCTCAGTGTCCGCCTGGTGCTATTCTGCAGGACCAGGGTGGGGTCTCCACCTCCCTCCAACCGTGAAGAAGGGAAGTTGTGTTTAAAGGACCCGATGCAGAGTGGCACGATTCTGTCTCCCAAATTCTGCACCTGAAAAATACCACCACCCAGCCACCGCCCAGGACTCTTCCTGGCTCTGTTTAAGGGACCTCACCCCCCAGACTGAAGGATGTGTCCATGTGTCCTTGCAGTTGGGCAAGCCCCGGGACACAGGCCTGCCTGGGCAGAGAAGGAGGGGACACTCGCTAGGGAAGAGGCTGGACCAGGCCTGCCCAGCGAGGGTGGCTGTCAGGTTTCCTGGTCGGTGCAGACACGGCCAGGAAAGGATGAAGGAGATGGGTGGCCTCCTGCCGGCAGCCAGGCGCTCCACGCACTTCTGATTGTTGACACAACTTTAGTGCTAGTTCTGCTTTTTCTATAGGATTCGTTTTGTTTTTGAAGTCATGTCCCGAGTTCTCTTTCTGCCTCTGACTTTGTGGGTCGTCCAATGAAAAGCTGGGGGGAGGGAAGACAGTGAAGTTCAGCCAATGCCATGTGAAACCACAGCCGTCTCTCAACATCCCCACGGTCACCCATTGCCTCTTCCCTCTGCTGGGCTCCTGGGTGCCCATGTCAGGAGCCACAGTGCGCGGTTCTCAGGGGCCCACCGCAGCTGGTGTCTAACCATCCGATTTTCGTCAGAAAGAATGGATTCATTGCATCTCATCTGAAGCTAAAAATACGATGTCTGGCAGGCATTCTCCAAAACCTGGAATAGAATGAATGTGCTCACTGTGTGGGGACATCTGACAGCAGCTCATCTTGGCACGTGCACCAGGACGCAGGCTTCTTAGAGACCCAATGGGCTAGAGGAGCTGTGGTTTTCCAGGGACTAGGGAATTCCCACTCCGGAAACTCTCCAGACCAAGCCATGTCAGCCTGCTCTGTTGGGGCAGACTCAGGACTCACTCAAGGAAAGGACTCAGGGGACGGGATAAGATTTGGCTTTGCCTTCAGGGCCCCGAGGCCCTCTAACCAGTTGCTGTCATGTCAACCCCGGCTCGTGATGCCCCCCCGTGTGCAGGGTCGAGCTGCTCCATGTGGTTTCAAGGTGCTCTGTGTGGACTGGAACCTCCAGCCTTTCGGTTAACAGCCAAGCACTTAGTCATTTCCATCACCCAGGGCCCCAGGGAGGGTGACCAGCTGCCTTCCCAACACTGGTCTTGTTAAGCTTCCAACTTTTACAACAGGGCGCCCACTAGATACCGTCACTAACTCAGGCCCTGGCAGAGCGGGCAGGACTGACCTGGCCTTAGGGAAGTGGGCACCACCCTCATTCCCTACACCTTCTTTGCTGCTCTGACCAACCCCTCAATCTCTGGACTTCTCTCTTTTCTAACCTCCTGTTAACTCATTAGACCAGGCAACAGGATGGTTCTAGAGAACCATGTGGCCCGACCAGACAGCACTCCCAGGGCTGTGGGGCTCCCCAGAACTGCCACACACACCCATATACCCCACCAACGGAGACTGGACACCGGGTGCTGCGGATCACGCCTGTCCAGCAAAACAGTCACCCAAGCAATGTTGGCACTGGGGCTCAGCCTTCAGGCTCCGAGCTGGGAAGAGAACACGGACTCGGGGTCAGGGGCTCTGTCAAGTCTCTGCCTGTCACATGTGGGTGGCGGGAGGGTGTGTGAGCAGCAGTGGCACACACCACCCTGTACTCAGAGTCCTGCTGGCTCACGGCCCTTCAGCAGGGCATGGAATTCACAGCTGTGCTGCCTGCAAAACCAAGGCAACACAGGATCATCAGTGCTCAACACAATGTTGTTTCTATGGAAACATGGGCTTCCCCTCCGACTACCAAACCACACAAGTTTGAACCCAACCTGCTGCTCCCCCTGCCCCCCAGGAGAATGGGGGCAGGGGTGCTGGAAATAGTCAAGCTGCTGTGGGTGCCCTTGTCCAACATGGTAGCAGCATTTCTGCATGTGAGAGAGTTCCAGGATGTGTGTGTGTGTGTCCATGTGTGTTTCTGTGTATTTGTGTGTCTTTGTGTTCCTGTGTCTGTCTGTCTGTGTGTCTGTATGTGCCCATGTGTATCTGAGAATCTGTGTGTATTCTGTATGTCTCTGTAGGTCTCTGTGTCCATATTTGTGTGTGTGTGCTTATGCATGTGTGTCTGCATGTATATATGTTCATGTCCGTCTATGTGTTATTCTGTGTGCATCTGTCTGTCTATTTTTGTCTGTGTGTCTGTCTGTGTGTGTTACAGTCTGTTGCAAAAACAAGGTGTTAATTCCCATTCCTGGCATTTCCCTCAGGGGCTTGAAGGGTAAGATGAAGAAGGAAAACTCCAAGAGGGAGCTGCTGTCGGACTCGGCCCACCTGAACGAGACCCACTGTGCGCACTGCCTGCAGCCCTACCGCCGCCTGGGGACCAGCAGGAGGCAGTGTGTGGACTGCGGCCTCTTCACCTGCAAGGACTGTGGCAGCACCCATCCCACGGGGCAGGGCTGGCTATGCGCCCCCTGCCGGCTGGCCAGGTGAGCAGCCTTGGGTCAGACAGCACTGGGGCGCTGGGCTGCACGTCCCCCAGGGCAGACAGCCCCACGGGCTCCGGGCTGCACATCCCCCAGGGCGGACAGCCCCACGGGCTCCGGGCTGCACGTCCCCCAGGGCGGACAGCCCCACGGGCTCTGGGTTATGCATTCCCCAGCTTGGATGGCACCACGGGCTCTGGGTTGGCGTGGTCCCCAGTGGGGCCAGGTGACAAGGGTGGGCAGTACAGGTTAGTGGGGCTGCATACTGGTTGTGCCATGGATGTCACCCTGCCCGTGTCGGCAGGGTTGTGAAGGTCGGCTCACTGGAGTGGTACTACGAGCACGTGCGGGCCCGATTCAAGCGGTTTGGAAGCGCCAAGGTGGTCCAGTCCCTCTCTGGGAGGCTACAGGCTGGAGGTAAGGCTGGAGGGTGAGCAGTGTGGGGCCCCCGCACACCCCTCTTGTTCCCAAGCAGGTCCTGGTGCAGGGTCAGCAGATGCCGTTGACCCTGTGTGCATCTCTCTCTGCTCATTCCCATTCCAGGTTCTTCCACAGGGTGGGCTGCTTCTCACGGGAAGTGTAACCCTCTACTCCCCAGTGGCCTGGCCTCCGGGTCCTGCATGAGGCTGCCTTCCCCACAGCCTTAGGCTGGCTTCTCCAGAGGACCAAGACCAGTGACGGATGTACACATATAAATATACAGAGAGATTTATGTCAAGGAAATGGGCCACAGTTGTGGAGGCTGTCAAGTCCCAAATCTGTGGGTCAGAGGTCAAGCTAGAGGCTTCTCCTGACTCATGTGGTTACAGGGGCTGACGAAACCACAGTCGACAGGTCAGACAGCAGACTGGTGGCTCACATCCCAGGAACCAGAGGTCAGAGGATGAGGAGTGGGACGCAGGATCAAGAGGCATTGAGCTTGCCAGAACATCCATCCAGATAGATAGATAGACAGACAGACAGACAGATAGACAGACCAAACTCACTGCCATCGAGTCGATTCTGACTCACAGCAACCCCCATTGGGTTTCCGAGCCTGTAAATCTTTACTGATGTAGATTGCCCCATCTTCCTTCCTTCCTTCCTTGGTGGGTTTGAACCACCAACCTTATGGTTAGCAGTTAAATGCCTTAGGCACTACACCACTAGAGCTCCTGGATTAGGGCCTAGACACCCAATTTTCAACAAACATTCCTCAGCATTCTGAGGATTATTGAAACCAGAAACCAAACCGGTTATGCCAAGTTGACTGGCTCGTGGCGACCCCGTGTGGGCCAGGGGGTGCCGTGTGCCACAGGCTTTTAGTGGCCAAGTTTTCTGGAAGCGGATTGCCAGGCCTCTCTTCGGAGGCACTCCCGCGTGGACTACAGCCTCCCGCCTTTCTGTCAGGGGCTCAGTGCGTTAGTGGTTCATGTCACTCAGGACTCCAATGATGATCAAGCCTAGAGAAATCTATTATGATGCGACCATGGGTTTGCTTTAGTTTGTTTTGTTAAATGCTTTGGGTCCAAGTACTGACTTCAAGATGAACTTGACATCCAGGCTTTGTCTTTACAGCTGCACCAAGTTCACTCTAAACGTGGCCCTCTTTAAAGCATGTGGGAAATCATTCTGGAGGGACGATATAAGCAGGTTGTCGATCCTCTGGGTCTGGGGTTACTTCTGAACTTGGAAGGAGATCACTGAGCCATGCTTATAGGACAGCAGGGCCTCATCGCTGCCACCCAGACTTGGGCTTCTGGGGTCCAGCCCAGCCAGCACTCAGCCGCACAGCCCCCTGGCCGGATCAGGGTCTCGGGGCCTCAGGTCTTTCTCTCTGGAGAGCACAGGCAAGTCCCCAGGGCCGTTAGGCAGTGCCTGGCTCCAGTAGTCTTAGTCACATCCACAGCAGAGCAGATGTGGGCATCCTTGAACTGGGAGTCCTCACTATGGCCAGACACCCAGGGAAGGGACCACATTTGTGTTTGCACCTTAAAACCTCGGGTATGTACAGGTGTGTTGTTAGATGCCGTCAAGCCAGTTCCAACCCATAGTGACCCTATCTGCATAGAACAGAACAAACCACGGTGCTGAGCCACCCTCACGAACGTTGCTGTGCTAGAGCCCACCACTGCAGCACCGTGTCACTGCATCTCACCGAGGGTCTTCCCCTTTGTTGCTGACCCTCTACTTTACCAAGCACGGTCTCCTTCTCCGGGAACCGGACCCTTCTGACAACGTGGCCCCCTCTTGAGGTACAAAGCACATGAGATGAAGTCTCATCTTCCTCCCTTCTAAGAGCACTCTGACTGTACTTCTTCAGGACAGCTTTGTTTGGCGTTCTAGCAGCCCATGGTATAGTCAATACCACAACACCAAAGTCAATGTCACCAACACCGCAATTCAAATGCATCAATTCTTCTTCATTCTTCCTTCGTCATTGTCCAGCTCTCACAGTTGCCAGGAGGTGGCGCTGGAGGGCAGCAGAGGCCGTGAGCTCTCATACCTGCATCATAGCTCTCATAGATGCCACCCTCAGCCCCTGCTGCAGGGGTCTCAGTCCCCACTCGGAAGAGACGCCCCAGTGGCTGCGCTCTCCCACTTGGGGCCTGTAAATACATCACATTAAGAAAAGGGGCTTAGTTGCTGGGGCTACCATAACAGAATACCACAAGAGGGGGGCTTTCATGAACAGGAATTTATTTTCTCAAGTTCTGGAGGCTAAAAGTCCAAATTGGGGTCTCGGCCGTGTGGCTTCCCTCTGTGGCCTCTCTCCTCGTGTCTGGTCTCTGCCCACAACCCTAGACGTTTCTCTGCTTGTAGACGGGTCCTCACGTGGTGTCTGTCCTCCCATGTCTCTGTCTGTACTGGGCTTTTTATGTCACTCAGGAGAGATGGGGCTTAGGACTCACCCTGCTCTAGTATGAGCTCATTAACATAACACAAGAAAACCAGTATTTCCAAATGAGGCATGCACGTTTTTGTTCAGGGCACATAATTCCATCCACAGCAAAAGGTTAAAGACAGAGCACAAAAGCTGGGTAAACTGTGCATTTAAAAAAAAAAAAAAA